CCTGATGGTTCAAAACAGAAGCACCCAGGGAGGCTGGGGCAGTTAGATCACAGGCTTGAGTTCAGCCTGGCAAATTAGCAAGAACCTAACTCAAAAGGGGCTGGGTATGTTGCTCAGTGAAAAGGCTCTGAGTTTAATCCCCAGCCTTTAAAAAACAAAACAAAAAAAAATCAAACTTTGAAGCAGGAATATGGAGAAAAAGGAAAATGAGAAGAGAGTGCATGCAGGTTCTGATCCTATGGAAGACTATGAAAGTTGTCCTGCACTTCTTTCACACTTGCTGTTAGCCAGAATTTAGAAGATGGCCAATTACAAGCCAAGAGAGAAGGGATCAATAGCTGTACTGAACCTGTACTCCATCCATGTCAGAAATGTTCAAGGACATTGCGAAGTCACACGGCCTCTCCTAGCTCTAGGACTGAAAATGTCTATACTGCAAGGGCAGGTGAACAGCAGGAAATGCATACTGGAAGGCCAATTACCAACTTCTGCCACAGATTACGCTTTCGACCTGTATGAATGCACCCATCTTACTACACGAATAGTTTATCACTCCCTTCCCAAGGGATACACCACTGAAGTCCCAGTCTCTTCTTGCAGCAAGCTCAAAGTCCCAGACATCTATGAAGTTCTCTTCACCAGGAACAGAAGTATCCCCAGTAAACTAAAAAACATTCCTATCTGCCTCAATGCACAAAATATGGACGTAGGGGTTGAATAATTATAATTTATAAATGGAACAAAGTGGAAATGACATAGTACAGTCAGGTAGGAGGAATAACTTCTAATGTTCTGTATTACAAGACATTGTTGTAAGGGATGCAGATGTGGCTCTGTGGTACCATGCCTGCCTTGCAAGCCCAAGGTCCTGAGTTCGAACCCCAGTACCGCAAAAAAAAAAAAAAACAAAGACATTGTTCTATAAAGTCTTTGAGGTGATATGAAATTACACTGATCTGATCAGTACATATTGTATACACATACCTCATAAACAAGTATAAATGTCAATTAAAAATAGAATATATATTCAAAACAGCAGCAGGAATTCCAAGGTCTCATTACTCTTGACAGTAGAGTTCCTTTATTGGACCATGGAGCAGCCCTTCCATTTTTATTTCTGGAAAGAACCCCTTGCTTATTCTTCCTGACAAAGGGTCTTCATTTTTTATTATTCTTTCTGGCTATACCTGGGGCTGTAGTTATTACAAGTGATACCAAACAGCAGTCTGCCCAGAATAGTTCCTGTCATTTCTATATAATTGAAAGTTCCTTTCTCTCAAACATTTTGTGATTTGGTCATTACCCAGTCACTCCATTCCTGAATTAGATTAATAAGGAACTGACTTCTGCCAACAATCACATAAACTTGCAAGAGGAATCCAAGTTTCAGATAAGATTGCAGCTCCAGACATCACGATTTCAGTCTGGCAAGTCCCTGAACAGAGGACCCAGCTAACATGTGCCTGGACACATAGAAAATACTGAACAAAGAATGAATTAGGAGGTATCATTGACATCTTGTGCCTAGGGGCAGAGCTGACAGATGTACAGCAGAGCACTTCCCACACTGTACTGTATTCAAATGTCAACAGAATCTGGCCTTTGTGGTACCAAATTTTGTGTAGGCTGAGAGGCAGAAGTGATTTAAAAAAAAAAGAAAAAAAAAGCCAAACCAGAAGTGGCTGAAACAAGATATTTCTCAATAAAGTTCCAATTAGTCTTGACTGATAAGGTTCACCATAATGTCAGGGACTCAGGTGTCAAAGTATCTGCATTTCAATTTTCTGTGGTAATCTGGAACTCATCTGACATTAGGAAGATTAGCAATCTTTGACCTTGCTAGGAGCATTTTAAGCTACATAGTAAATCTTTATTTTTATGAAGTCAAATAATACAATTTTTGTCTAAGATTCTGACATTCTTTAAAAATATGTACTCAAGCCAGGTGTGGTGGCACACACCTATAATCCCAGCACTTGGGAGGCTGAGGCAGGAGAGTCCCTGTGAGTTCGAGACCAGCCTGGGCTACATAGTGAGTTCCAGGTCAGTCTCAACTACACAGTGAGACTCTGTCTCAAAAAACAAAACAAAACAAAAACAACCCCCCCAAAAAAACCAAACCAAAACAAAACTTGAGTACTTTTATGAACTATTTTACACCATTAAATGGACTCACTTTACCGCCCGCCCCCAAGCTGGCTACCCTAATGTCTCAGTACCACTTTTAGAGTAATTCATCTTTACCCTGATTCCAGCTGCTGCCTTTAAAATCAAAACATGGCACTACATAACATTTTATCAAATGCCTTTGTAGTATCTACTCAAAGGATTATTTTTTCTTAATATTCTAAAAGAGCTACAATGCTAGCTTTCCTAATGAGGAATAATCACTGCATTCCCAGTCATAAACCATATTTGGTCATAATGTAGTATTTCTTGGTTATTACTAAAGTAAGGTGTTTTGCTTTTAACGTATAGGGAAGTTTCATCAGTTTTCTTTGGTGCTTACTGAAGCTTAGGCCACTCATAACATACTTTCCATAACTTCCTTTCATCTAGAATAATTCTTGTAACAGAAAATTATGCATGGAGAATTGGATAAAAGTCACTAAAAAAGTCTAATGTACTTCTGAGAAATACAAGTAAACTTTCTATTCATTTTATTTTCTGGATATGATTTTTGTCTTTTTTTTTACCTTGCCAGTGTCAGGATGGAGAGATAGATATTTTCTTTCACATAGTTCTAAATGTCAGGATGTTAGTAATTTTTAAAAGGAAAAGAGTATTAGATATAAAAATCTGAAAATGTTTAATGAACACTGTGTACCTATCACCAAATTTAAGCAATCTTAGATACAATTAAATTCTTCTATGCCGTTTCCTAGTCTCATTCTTTTATGTTCCTCTTCACATATACTGACCTCATTTATCCCATTTCATGTTTTACACAATTTACAATACATAAGATGGTATAGAATTTTACAGATTTTAAAGTTATGCTTATAGGGCCAAGGATTTAGCTCAGTGATTCCAGCATCTGCCTTGCAAGCACAAGGACCCGAGTTTGATCCCTGGTACCAACCCCCCCACAAAGAAACCAAAACAAAACAAACAAACAAAAAAACACCAAACAAACGAAAAACAAAAGCAACCACTTATGCTTATAAAATTAAAGTGTACTTACCTTCTATAACTTCCTTATTTACAGTATATTGCTATAAGAAGCTCTGACTTCGGTTTTAAAAACTCTGTATGTGTTCCTAATGTACAATGTAACCAAACCTGTACTTCTTTATTGTTAGGTATTCAGATGGGTTTAAGGTTTCTGCCATTACAAGTCTCTAGAACAGAATTTATTTTGTTAAATGTCATTTTCTTTTTTTTTCCACCATAAAGCTGTACAATGAGAAAAGAGTATACACAGGGAAGGGGGTATCCTTTTCTTTTCCCCTGCATCCAAGACTTTCAGTGTTTTGGAACACTAATCAAAACATCAATCTCTTGTATTTTGCTGTATGAAAAAAATCATTCTTCCCCAAGTGTTTAATTTATACCTAAGAAAGCTATGGTTCCTGAGGATTCATTTTTCTGGTAGAAGTCTGGGACAGCAGAGATGTGTGTTCAGAATATATTTTCAGATTCTACTAGGTTAGCAAGCCAGCAGCACAGAACATGAAGCCAAAGAGAAAGCTAGCGATTTTTACTGTCAGGCCAAGTGTCGGATATTCTTGCAGTAAGAGAACTCTGAAAATTGATTTGGCTCAAAAACTGGGCATTTTACAAATTCTTCTAATAATGTGCCATTCTAAGATACACCAATTTTGTATCCTTAACTTTCTTTTATTAGAGTGCTTTAATCCATAGATGAATAAAGATTTATGCAATTACAGTAAATGGCTGATTTGGCATTTGTGAAATGTGTATTTTCTAGTCAGTTAGGGAACAAAAGTTCTCTGATTCAGTCATACTGCAAAAGAATAAAAATACATTAATCAGCACATTTTTGTTAGGTAATTCCAAAACTAGGAATAAAAATATTTTAATGTCTTATTAGCCCTACCACTGTTTATAAGAACACTATTTACAACTTTACTCTTCACATAAATGCTTTCATTCTATAATATAGTATGCTTTAAACTCATTTAGCTTTGAAATGGTAACACTCTGACTCATGACATTGCTATATTAGAAATGTGAACTGTTATTTTGATACTTCAATGAGATACAAAAGGATTTCTTGTCTAACAAAAAAAATGGTGTGCTGAAATAGTTAAAAACTCATTCTTTTTAGGAAACCTTCCTTGACTTGACATCCTTTTAAAGTATCTTAAGTACAATTAAGCTTAAGATTTACCTTGTAAAGAAGCTTGAATCTTATTAAAACACATATTTTAATATGCTATCCATGCTATAACCTCCAAAATGGATTTAAGGTGTGCCTCTCAAATGGCACTCAGCAAGCAGCCTTATCCATTTCCTGCAGTGTGTTTTACAAATATGAGCACTTTATGTATATGTATATTATGTTGTGATGTCAGATGGAAAACACTGCCAGAAGCCCAAAACTATTTTGCAGATTCCTTTAGGAAACAGTTCCATATTTTCCTAAATTCATCATGCATATTCTGGATACAGTTTAATTAATTTTGAATGACCTTACATTAATTTTTATTACCAATAAGGCATTAAAAGTTTAATGGACTATTTTAACTGGTAAATATTTTGTATATTCTTCAATTGCTAGCACTCCTGGCCAATCCTATAGTAAAGCTCCTGCATAACAGTGAGAATGTCAAATCTGGAGATGCCTATTCAGAGCCTAGTTTTAAAAAATTCTTACAGTTTCAAACACTGAAATGTACACTTTAAGACTGGCAAGTACATTGTCATTGTCCCTACAGGTAATCACCATAGAAAAGTGAACAAAATACACATCCTTCTTGGGATGTTCTAAAACATGCGCATTACAAAGGAACTGTTAACTCTTCACTAAATGTGCCTTTATAGATTTAAACACACTAGTTTGCAAGGGCACAGACTTATGATCTGGTATGAAAGATCTTCTGAAAGGACTGTCCATTATTTGAAAGCTTTTGATATGGTTATTAAAAAGTCAAACTTTAAACACAGAAAGGGCTACTCAATGACACTCAAATGATATAAAATTATCAATAGGTATTCTTAATTAGCTTTCCTGAGAATACCCCTTTTGGGGAAGATTGTATAATGAACCAGAACTTTCAGGACAATTTTCTTTTAAAGCTCTTGTTCCTACTTTAGTTTCTAAAACCTCCAATAAGGAAAAGCCCGACAAACATTTGTATACATATTTATGTCATAAAAATGTAATCAGAATATAGTATATCCAAGTACAAGTTTTCCCCAATTTATGACTTCAAAAGTGTAAAAATGTACCTATATAACCATTGTTTTTCTCTTTTAGAATTCAATAATTATATGATATGCAATTTTTTATTACAAAATACACTTGTGTTAGATGACTTAGGCCAAGTGTAACCTAATGTAAATGTTGAGTATGCTTGAGATGGTGAGGCTATGATGTTGAAAGTTTGTGTATTTGTGTATCATGCACTTTTGGCTGTTAATACTTTCAATTTATAATGGATTTACTAGGAATGTAACACTATTGCCAGTCTGTATACAAGAACATCTCCATAGTCTTGGGGAAAAGCTCTCATGTCAAAACGCTTCTATCAGAATTATTATTTTTTTGTTTAGGGATTGAACCCAGGACCTGCATGCTGAGCTACATCCCAGGTCTTTTTTCGGTTTTGTTTTTATATTGAAATAGGGTCCTGTTAGGTCATTCAGTTGCCCACACTGAGCTTGAATTTGTGATCCTCCTGCCTCCGCCTATTCTATCTTTCAATTTCAGAGATGTCTTTCCAATTTTAAGATTCATGTTGTTTGCACTCCTCTATTCTGTTCCTTCAGCCAGTCACTGTCATACTTGTTGTTAGTGCTAATAACTCTCTTAGAAATCTCAATTTTAAGTACATCGCACTCACCACTACTTCCCTACATTGTAGTTCATTCTTTTTAGCTTAATTGAACATACCTATAATCCACTGACTGTACCACATTTTCAACTATCTCTTCCCTCCTCTCATGTCTTATATTATATATATACATATACACATACATACATATGCACGCCCTGGTGTCACTCTAAATCAGCACCAGTCTAGAGAAGTTGTCCATTTTTCTGGCTATCAAACCTTCCCAGGCTCGTTCACTTTCCCGTTCTTCTACGCTAGAACATTCTATTTCCTGTATCTACCTGCTATAATATTTCACAATGAAATCTGAAACTGACCTCCGACCAGACCCCTATTCCCAATCACCTACTTGCTTCTTGTATAATCTTCCAACACAAGTCTATATCTCACGTTTCACATTCCTTAACAGTTCTCTTTATATCATGTTCCACAACTCTTAGCAAGTCTTGCTGAGCTTTACCTACTGGTTTACTATCTCCTTACCTACCACCTTCATTCATGCCATTATTCTCTTTTAATTGGACTACTATAATACTCTCCTCCTGATTCTGCCCTTGCCTCTTAACTTCAGCCTATTCAACACAAGAACTATTAGGCTTCCTATTAAAAGAATGTCCTGAGCTTCAGGATACTTTGGGGTTTCCTTTTTTCCTTTAATAAAATGTTATTCATAAACTAAAAAAGGACTATAAAAGACTAGTCTATTATACAACCATTTTGTCATGAGTTCTAAATTACTTTTGATAAATTTTGACAACATGCAAATTGTAAAAACATTTGCATACATCTTCAAGCATGTATTCTAAATTATAAAACCAAGCCAAAGGAATTCCCCCTTGTGGAATATAAACCCATGAAAGCCCAATTGACACAACTGATCAATTCCAGACTTATCCAGCATTTAGTTCAGAATTATCATCAAACATTTGAATATGTCTTTTAAAAAGTAAACAGATAATTCATGTATCAATTCACTTTCCTTAGGAATCCCAATACACACAACTTGTAAAACTAAAGATAAATGATTTAGTCAAAGATGTTATAATTTCAGATTATATTCTCAACGCTTTCAAAGCTCAATGGTGATTTTTAAAAAGAAATTAAACATGCTTTCACTGAATTTTAGAAAATCTATACAATTCAAGCTAATGAAATATTTTATTGTACTTAATAAAAGTGGTGTTTAAAAAAAATTTCCAGGCCCAGATGTCTGCAGGAGTATGTTGAGGAAGAGATTTCACTCAAGTATAAGAAGCAAAACGCTATTGAATGAAACCATAAATCCACCCAACTCCTTATAGTAAATACTAACACTCACTACAGGTTTGAAATTCCTGTAGTATCAATATATCTATTTTTAAAAATATTATAGACATGCTTATGATGCATAGGAAGATGGAAAGACTTACTTAGACTGTGACTACACACCATATGTACTCTCAGCTTTCCTAATTTACAACCAGTTAAGAATTACAATATCCAAAGAAAGTATTTTAAAATAGTATATGACTCACTGTTAAGTGATTTTTCTACTCAAGTAAATAGGAAAGTTTGCATTTTAATGTTACACTAAATTTCAGTACATTTCAAACCAAGGGAAAAAATAAACTGAGACATGGTCATGAGTTCAGGATTACATATATTACAATTTGCATTGTTATATTTGTGGATTTATGATAAAAATAACTCAAGGACATATGGAATTCAAGCTAATTTGCATAACTGTCACAAGAAAAAAAAGCATTAAATGCATTTATGAGATAAGTATTTTCATTTCATTTCAGAATCTCAAAACAGCAATAGACCCTGGCCTTGTTTTAAAAAAAGTTTAGTTAAACACTAAGCTAGCTAAATAACCTTACTGAAAAGTTCAAACACAATTGATGTAGAAAATGCTTTCCCTCTAATCTCAATCTTACATAAGTGGAAGAGGTGAAGGGGAAAAGGTAGACAATTTCTTTAGCAGCATATATGGCTAAATCCACAACCACCTTAATCTACAATGTCTATTACTGACCCCATTAAAAAGGATTGGGCTAATATCAAAAGTTACCCATTTAATAAGCCAAAAGACAATAATTTTAGGGTTATACTAAGTAAAATATTTTTGTAATACTTCAAAAATTTTAACCATAAACTAGAGGAATCAACTCTTCATTTTAAAAAAGAAAGGAAAAACAGAAAGTAAAAGACATTTAAACTAAACTCATTTTTTTCAATCCTCTTCAAAAAAAAGTAAATAATGGTTGATTAGCTAACTTTTGTGCTCTAACCAAACTAATTAATTACACTGATTTTAAGTGGCAATAGCCCATGTGACTGGGCAGCTTGACAGTTCTCAACACTTTTGCAATAATTTTTAAACGTAAAGATTACTAAAATGATCTGGACATGCAATGTTCATCTTATGCATTCTGCATTTCTTTGCCAATCTTGTAGCTAAGGATCTTGTTCCAATCAATCTTAGTACGTGTAACTGGCAACTGTCGACGTAAGGCCTTGAAAGTAGTGTCCGACATTGTCTGATAATTCTCACTGATGGCAGTCTATGAAAAACAGTAGTTAGAAATTTAAAACAAATGAATGCAACAAAACAATTTTAATATGTTTTTAGAACAATTTTTTATTTAAGTAGCCTATTTCAATGCTTTTAAGTAGTCAAAACTGATATACTTTTAAAAGCTGTTTAAAAGCTGCTATAAGGAAAAGCATATAATCATTTTGAATAACTAAGTTTAATTTATGAAATGGTAGAGTAGGTTTATTGTTCTCATTCTGAATCTATTTTACAATTTCACTGAGAACAATCTGGGAATTACTATTTTTAAGGGGTGGAAACTCGTCCAATACACAAATTAAATGCTTAAGTTGAAATGTTAGTTTGGAAACTGAAAAATGTACACAGCAGAATACAAACTGAAAATATGACCTATACCTATGCATGCACACACACACACACACACACACACACACACACACTCCAAAAGGTTTAGGTAACATCTCTTAAGTTAAAATTTCCAATGAGTAACAAAACAACTATTGAAGGGCCTGGCATATTTTTGACCAATAAATAGATAGAAATTTCACTTTGCTAAAGCCAAATCCTGGTATTTTAAAACACAAAATCTTAACTAAATTCACTTTGTCACTTTTCTGACTACACTTTCACAAATTTGCTCTTGTACTAATAGCAAACACACAACAAAAAGACCATTTCTTATACAGTAAAACAAAGAAAAAACTCAAGATTATGGAAGAAAGTAAAATTTCAGTGCCACTCAAAAATGAACATAGATTACAAAAAAAGTTTGAAAACTCATACCTGGTATTCATTTTCTGCAGCTTCTACAATCTTTATAAATTCTTTTGCTGTTTGGACTTCATTCTAAATAAAAAAATAAAGTCAAAAGTAAATAAAACAGTAATTTAAAACTAAACTTTACTTTAAAATATACATAAGATAATGAAATGTTATAATTTAACAAATAATATAAATGAATATTATAACAAGTAAAAGGAGAACTATAAGACCAATTATTCTAATCCAAAGAAAGCCAGACAAAAATATAAAAGTCCACAGAAGGAGTGTGGTCTCAATATTTAACTTATGTAAGATATATCTTAGTAATATACATTGATTAAAAAGTTCAATTATAATATTTAACATAAAATCCAACAGGTAAACTTTACGGGTAAGAAATTAGGCACAGCCGGGGATTTAGCTCAGCGGTTCGGTGGCCTGCCTTGCAAGGGCAAAGACCCGAGTTCAATCCCCGATACCAAAACAAAACAAAACAAAATAGGCGGTATTGAGAAATTAGGCACAGATTTCTACTACATGACTATTTTTACTTATTGTTAAATATTTACTGAGTAACATTTAACAAAATGATATTTAAAAATTACCAATCAGGAAGAGTCTATTTTAAAATTTAAGGTAAAATTATTCTACTATTCAAATACTTCAGAAAAAATTTTAATATGCTGATGTGGTTTTGTTTTCATTTTTCCTAACAGTAAAGTCAAGGTATTTATTTTTAATAAAATGTGTTAAAAGTGAAAACCTCTAATACCTTATATGTATGTGTGTATATACGTGTGTGTGTGTGTGTGTGTGTGTGTGTGTGTGTGTGTGTATTCATTCATGCAATAGGGTATTTGTCATTCCAAAAACAATGACAGGATGAAAACCTCATACAATAGTTATTCCTGAAAAACCCAGACCTAACTAGCGTATTAGTGTAGTTTAACTGCTATGACTTTTATAATTTCAGTTTATAATTTTCTGGACAAGTTTCTCTTAGGAAGAATCTTTCCTCAATGTAAAACTTCCCAAAGAGAATATCAAGTACCCTTTCTATGCAAAAAAAATTACATGATAATTACATATAATATCTAACTATATGGAATACAATGTCTCATGAGAGTGCAAATGCACTAAGTTTCTTTTAAGGGCAAATTCTGCAAGGAGCATAAAAGTTGGCATAGAAGTGGAAATCACCTAAGTGCTAACAAAAAACTTTAAAAAACAGGCTTCTATCTCTTCTCATGTAGCATTTGGGCTAACATAGTTATGTTAAATGTTTCTGTGTTTTGATTTAAAAAAAAGTTACTAGTACGTGTTTGCAGTACATAATGATTACATTCATTGAAAGAAGTTCTTACATATATACCTAATACATCTTAATTCTTTTTACTTCCCCTCTCCTTCTAAGTATTTCTTGAGGTTAAAATATTTTTTGTAATTAAAAAAAATAATTTTCTTAAATTGAAAAACTCTTGAATTTTAAATCACAATCCAAACAGATGAAAGAAAACATAAGATAGAGCTTAAAAGTTAGGTGTAGGACCTTAGGCCTAAATGTAACAGTTAAAACTATAAAAACTCATAGAAGAAAACTACGTAAGTAAATTTTCATGATCGTGGGGTCAGGCAGTGGTTCTATTAATACACTAAAAGCATGAATAACAAAAGAAAAAATACACCAGACTACATCAAAACTAGTTTTGTTCTACAAATAATACAATCAAGAAAGTGAATGCTGGGCATGGTGGCGCATGCCTGTAATCCCAGCACTAGGGAGGATGACGCAGGAGGATCACTGTGAGTTCGAGACCAGCCTGGGCTACATAGTGAGTTCCAGATCAGTCTCAACTACATAGTGAGACGCTGTCTCAAAAAACCAAAAAAGAAAGTGAAAAGACTACATGGAATGACAGTATCTACAAATCATGTATCTGATCTCAGACCTATATCTAGAATATATAAACAACAATCACAACTCAATAATAATGAACAAGACAATTATAATTCACAATTAAACAATTACAAATTGGCAAAGGAACTGAACAGCCATTCCCTAAAGACATACAAGCCAATAAGCACATGAAAAGATGTTCAGTATCATTAGCCATCAGGAAAATGGTAACAGAAACCACAAGATGATACTTCATGTTGACTAAAAAGGCTATAAGAAAAACCAAACCAAAAACAAAACAACACAAAACAAAACAAAACCGGAGTTTTACTGAAGATGTGGAAAAATTGGAACCTTCATATAAATTGTTGGTAATTATAAAATGGTATAGATACCCAAGAAATGTCTGGAAGTTTCTCAAAGTCTTAAACACACCACACAACCCAGCATATCTATGTCCATATGTATCTCTCAACGAAAAATTAAATAGTTTAAAAAAATACATAAATGCTTATAGCAGCAAAAAGTAGAAACCAACAGAATGTCCACCTGATGATTAAATGTGTATATATCCATACAAATGAAATACTTATTTGGCAGTGACAAGTAATGAATTATCAAAACAGACTCTCTAACAAGGACAAATACTGAAAAATGCTAAGTGAAAAGAGGTCAGTCGTACAAGTTTACATACTATATATGATTTTATTTATATGAAATGGCTAAAATAGGCAAAGCCATAGTCAGAAAATGCCCAATGGTTGTCTGGGAGAAGAGCTGAGGAGAATGATGAGTGACTGTTAAGAAGAGTAAGATTTCTTTAAAAAACATGAGGAAGTTCTAAATTTAGATTGCAGCGATTAGTTCACAACTCTATTAATCCCAAAACACCAAATTTTACACTTTAAAAGAGCAAACTGAATAGTATGTGAATTATAACTCAATACAACTGCTAAAAACTTTAAGTACAGAACTATAAAAGCTTACCATCTTTTATCTATCTGAAAACACTTTAATCTGAAGCAGAAATATTACTTAAAATGTAAATTTCAAAACTGCTGATTTTACAGAAGTACCAGATTGTTTTTATTTTTTTGTGGAATTACTTACAGACACTGTTAGGGAATCTTGTATATCTTTATGACTCACTAGCTGAACATTTCCATCTTCATAATAATGAACCTATTAGGAAAACAAAAAACACATTCAGCAACTGTAACAACACAGCTGACTACTCATTTCAACTCCAGCCCAGACTTCTCCACTAAGCCTTTAGAATTCTACCATGACTCTTCCCACCCTCAGCCTACTGAGAAGACTAGATATTGGTGCAATTATTTAGGAAGTGAATAATTTCCACTGACCTCACTGCTATATATTTTCACACCATCACCATTTTAGTGGTACCAAAACCCAAGATGTACACATTAAGCTCACAGTAAGTCCCTTCAAAATGCTTCTGTGTACATTCACCAAACATTTAATTCCAAAAATTACAGATATGAATTTATTCAACAATCATTAACAAAATAAATACTGTTACCATATAAGATTGTGGAAATCCATGGCTTTTAAAATGACATAGCCCCAGCTGGGTATGGTGGTGCAGGCCTGTAAACCCCCACTTGGGAGGCTGAGGCAGGACAATTGTGCAAGTTCAAGGCCAATTTGGGCTATATACAGTCCCTTCATATTCCAACAAAAGGGGCTGTACAAAACACACTAGCAATACTTTAGATTCTCTTGGAGGGTTTTAAGATATAACAGAAAGAACTGAAGATATTTGTGGTTGGAATATATATAAAGCTGGGGGAAAGGGAGGAATATCGGGAGAAATACACAGGTAGCAGATTAGTCAACTTCGGGGCCTGTATACCATATGAATATGCCTAGATTATCTGGTAGGTAAAAAGTGTAGCACTAGATGATCTTTAGGCGAGTAACGCATCCAGGTTTAATTTTTTTTTTTCAGCTTTAATTGAGTTTATTGGTATATTTTAGGGATACAGTACAGTTACATTCATTGTTGGGATCTTGTACCTCTACATGATAAGTCTTGATCCAGGTTTAAATTTTTAAAAAATTAATTCTTCAGATGGCAATTGAAAAACCGATTAGGAAATGCCAAAGGATCTGGGAGTTCAACCAAATCAAGTAATATTACATGTCAGCCACTATAATAAGTGATAATGGAACTATGAACCAGACAACTAGGGACATCATTTTTAAAGTGCTATGATTACCTAGGTAAGAGTTACTGAGGCTTACCTGAAAGGAATGCTAACAATAATAGTTATTGTTCACAGAGCACTCTGTGTTCGGTTCTATTCTAACCATTTACCCAATATTACTAATCCTCAATCATACAAGCTTTTTATTTGGACACAGGGTCAAGCTATATAGTTCAGGCTAGCTCAAATCCATGGTAAATCGTCCTGGTAAAGCTCCCAAGTGCTGGGATTATAGGCACATGCCATCCCACCTGGCTTTCACTACTTTTTAATGGATGGCAAAACATACAAACTTAAATGATTTTCTGATGTCACACAAATAGTAACCAGCTGATCTGGGATTACAGTCTGACTTCAGATTCCATGCTTTTAATTTTTATTCTCTAGTTTTTAAGGGACAGGGACCAAGATATAATGCAATGTGAAATAAGACTAGTAGTGTATACAAAAGATAACAAAGCTGCAGTATAGGATTCACCCTTGTTCTTTTAAAATCTCTTAGCATATCTTTTCATGACAGTTGATCAGCAACTATACTAAATAAGTGAACCAAAACAGAAAAAGATTAGTAACTTCCTTTAACTTATTTAGCAATATATATATATAGTCAAATAAATAGTTACCAAATGGTCTACATAAATATCTGAGCTTACATTAAGACTCACAGATTCAATTCCAGTGGATTTCATCTAAGAAGCCAAATATGAGTACAGGAGATAATATATGATTATATATGTTAATATAGCATGTATTATGTATTTAAATATCCACACACACATATTACACTCAATTCAGTCCACTGAAGAGCACAACTCAAACTCAGAAGATGATTAAATGAACAAATTGTATGAGGTGCAGACCAAATGGTAGCATCTAATTTTAGCTGTGCTTAGAATCTGTCACCTATCCTCACAGATTTTTGATGACTAGGAAACAAACCATAAGGTTATTTAAAAGATTTAAAACACCACTACTTCTTTTTTCCATCACCCCAAAACAAAAACCCAAAAAGGAAATTGTGTGCATTCTATGAAAATATAAATTTTTTTAGGTTAGTTGTTTCTTTGACCAGAACCATCTGGAAATAAGTAAACAAATTTTTAAAATTTTGTACCTGAATTTTCAAGATGCCAACCACCTGAGTGGTTGAAGGTGTGATTGTAAACTTCCACTCTGACCTCCAACGACCATTCCTTAAAAATAAAAACAGCAGCTGTAAATAAGGTAGGGAAAATAATTTGAATCAATATTAAGCTTCAGATTTAAAGTTAATGAATGCTATAATGTGACAAAATGTAGGAAATAGATGCTGGACATTTGCTTCTCTGAAATAATCAAAAGGATCAAAAAGTGAAGAATAGGTATAAGACACAAAAGGTTTGATCTAAGAACACCATGTGTTTAAATTTTAAAATTACTATATAGTAAGGGCTGGAGATTTAGCTCAGTGGTTCTGGTGCCTGCCTTGCAAGCACAAAAGCCTGAGTTCGATCCCTGGTACCAAAAAAAAAAAAAAAAAAATTACTATAGTAAAAGACACCAACATTAATTCCCTTCCCTTCAAAATACTTCCCTAGATTTCAACTTATCTTATTGTTTTTGCCACTTTCAAAGCAGTTCTGAAAGTCCGCTTTCATGAGTGTTTTCTGTTATACTGCCACGGTTGCCTTAAGGTTCCAAATTGATTCCAAATATGTACCTTTTGTAGCCATTTTTGACTTTGGGTAAAGAGCCACAAGTTACATAATGTCAGATTCAGTGAATAAGATAGAAGAGGACACATTGTTAATGTTTTTATGAGCCTGGTTTCTCATTAGTTTGGCACTAGGCAATCATATTGACTGCATTTTTTGGACACACCCTGTAAAGATACTCAAGAACGAAGATTTCCAGAACTATTTCAAAAAGTGGAAAGAACAACAAGTATATCCAAGGTGGGGGACTACTATGAGGGGCACTAATGGCAACGTGTCTTTTACTGTAATCATTTTTAAAAATTTAAACATTCACTGTATTTTGCACTACCCCTGTATTCGATCTTCACCCTACTTCCAAGAAAGACCTACATAATGGATGTTCACTTCAAAATTCTAAAGTTAAAGCTTAAAAAACTATTCAAAACTCAGATATGTTTTGGAGAAAAATGTTAAGCTACTTCAACTGAGTCACCTAGGCTTTAATTTAAGATTAAACAAATGTTTAGATTATCAGCTCCTTTCATAAATACAATTAGAGAAATTTAACATCTACAAGATACTAAATAACTTTTTAAAAAAATGGCTAGGAAATGTTATGTAATATCCTTGAGTAGGTTTTAACAATCTGGAAGGAAAGAATATAGTTTTGAACATCAGTTTTCCAATTTTAGGTTTAATTTTCTCTAAAAGGCATCACTTCTAGAAATGGTATTGGTATGCAAATTAATATACATTACTGGTAGGAAACAGAAATTATAAGCAACATATGTAGTATTCATTTTTCTCTACTACTGAATTTTAGCCTATTTTTCTGAGTCTTTTCATAGCAACACCATTTCTTTCTTGCCTATTTGCTCTTTGTATGCTAAAGACATTTTGATATGCAAATTATACCCCTTAGTTTTTCTGAACACTCTATGTTTCCAAAATCATACCAGTTAATAGATCACCATACTAACTTTTGCTATAAAATTATATGAGGTACTTTCAATATTTTTGTAATCTACCCAATTATAAGTCTATATCAGTGCTCTCATTTTTATTTTTTGGAACCAGGGATCGAACTCAGGACCTTGTGCTTGTGAGGCAAGTGGCAGAACCATTGAGCCAAATCCCTAGCCCAGTACTCTCATTTTTAGAGTTAACATCTAACATTTCAAAACTATTAGAACAATGCATATGTTCCACGACAAAAGAATTTTGTAACATCTTGACTTTCAGTGACTCATCCAAGAGTATTCAGAGATGGTTGGCTATAAAAAGAATCTAGATCTTTTCAGTTTTGGTTAAATAATTTCTCTTAGGTAAGCAAAGTGAAGTTTTAAACATATACATTAATGATTATTATGGCAATATTCATATATATCAATAGTGATTGTACAAAGTAAAAAGTAAAATACAATAGAAAAATCAAGAGACTTTTTTCATTTCACATATGCTCAAGTTCAAAGGAGTTATATTTTTGCAAATTAGTAATTTAACAATAGATTCTAAACTAAAACTTAGTAACAATAATTTTCATTTACTAGTAGCTGAATTTCAAAAGGTTGATTATATTATAAATTTCCTGGCACAAAAATATAAATTAATAGTAATTCTGCAAAGATTCACTGTTTGGTAGATTAATGGCACACATTTTTAGAGTTAAAATAGAAAACTACATTTGTATTTAGTCCATAAAAGTAACTTTATTATGTCAAAATATTTAGGACATTGTATCCTGTCATTAAGACATGTTTACAGATGGAAATGATTATCCTTTCATGATGCTGGATATACATTCCTCTAAATATTCCCAATTAACCTTGTAACCTTGCACTTATGTGTGAGATGCTTAAGCAGGAGAGCAAACCTGAGCCATAGTCCAAACTGGTCCACTTGGGATACTGATTCCTGTTAATTTACTCTCAACAGTACTACCAACTGCTGAGCTAATGAGTCAAAGACTGATGAACTCTGATGATTTCATCACATATTAAAGAAGGAGAAAAAAATTCTGAATCTATAAAATCTTGAAGAACCTCAGAATTTTCTAGCAGGCAATATTGCAGGAATAATCTTGTCTAAGAATAGAAAGGATAAACAACTCACTGAAGATTAATAGGGCAAGTCAGTACTTTAGGAAGCTAGATTTTTAGGAGCAACAGTAAAATTTACATGCAAAACTACAAGGCACAATTGTAATTTTACTTTCTCATATTAGTCAACTAAACACAAATTAATCCCCATAAAAACATCTTTAGAGCTTCCAACTTCACAAAATAATTGTGTTTTTTATTATTGCCCCTTCCTAATCCCCCGCATAAGTTTCTTTCTTTCTTTCTTTTTTTTTCCTCATTGAGTTTATTGGTACATCTTAGGTATACAGTACAGTTACATTCATTATTGGGATCTTGTACCTTTACATGACAGGTCTTGGTTCTCATTTTTTCCCCCTGTCCCTGCCCTCCCTTCACCCCTCCTCCCCTCCCTATTTACAAATACTTTATTTCCATTTTTTCATTTTGTCATTTTTTTTTCTTTTCCCTCATTACCTTTCCCCTACCCTTCCCACTTTCCCTACGCCTTTAGCCCCTTTCTTCCTATTTCACATTGTCAATTATCTCATTAGGATCTTATGTACTATTACAGTTTTTCACACGAGAGAAACTATTCGGTATTTACATATGTATGACTTATTTATTTCACTTAGGAGTATATCCTCAATATGTATCCATTTTCCTATGAATGAATCTAATTTCTCATTCTTTATGGCTGAGTAGTATTCCATTTTATAGAAAAACCACATCTTCTTTATCCAGTTTCCTGAAGGGCAGGCAAATGGGCTGTTTCCAAGTTTTAGCTATTACAAACTGTGCCACTATAAGCATAGGTGCACATATATCACTGTGATATATGTGAATATGTGATATTCTTTTAATTATTTTGTTAAGATACCCAGCAGAGGGATGGCTGGGTCAAATGGAACCTCTAGTCCCAGCTCTTTGAGGTATCTCCATGTTGATTTTCCCCCTCATAAGTTTCATTCAGGAACACTCCCTTCTCAGAATGAGCATGCGAGCCTTCCAACTTGTCTGCTTGCACGCACACATCACATACTCTCCGGTTTCTGCCTGCTAGTAGCTCCAAAAACACTATGCTGTCCTATGTTCTGTTTTCTTTTTTCCTTTGGTACTGGGGATTGAACTCGGGTCCTTGGGCTTGTAAGGCAGGCAGTGGTACCACTGAGCTAAATCCCCAGCCCTCCTATGTTTTTGTCCAATGAATGTCATCAGATTTACTGCTACCTTTAATAATTAAGCTGATTATGGAACAGCTTCTTTTTCCAAGAGGCTCAAGTTTTACATCATATTTATGTTGTTAAATAAGGTATAGCCCTAATCACAAATCCAAGAACTACAAAGAATATAAACAATGACAAAATTCCTCAATATACAAATGTTGAACTTACCAAAAGTTTTTTGCTTGGAACTGATGGCTTTCTATGCATGCAATAATGGTTTGCTGTCCATCTATCTTTTTACCATATACCTTATTGGAAAAAAACAAAGCAAAACCAAGAATGAGAACTTAGTGCCAAGAATGCTCAATTTTAATCATCTCTAAGATACTGAAAAGGATACAGCACTTTGGAAGTATGTGAAAGGATACAAAGTAGGTCCTCACTCTAATATAGTAAGTAGAAAAACAATTATCAAATATGTACATCTAAGCAAATTATTAGATCACAAAACACTCAACTGATAAAGTAAAACTTACTGAAGAAAATTAACTTTACTATCATACTTTCATTCCAAACACAAGGATCATAAATAAGAATTTTATTTAAACATACAGATACCAATGTAATTATTTCCATTCAAGTAAAAATTGTACCTAGTTTTTGATTATCATTTTTGGCTACTTTATGATCTTAGCAGCTACCCTTTCTGAGGTCATTTTAAAATTTCTAAGGGTTAGGAAGTTAATGTACTCTTAACTGAGAGAGGTCATTAAGAGAATATTTATGATGTACTATGATGTTATTTTACCTCTTTCCTATAACTTTAAAAGTAATGTGTAATTTCAATCCCATCAAAGCAAAAATGAACTTAGTCACTCCCTTACTCGTAACTGAGATACTCCTCTAAAATAATCCTAATTAACAATTTTTCCCCCCTGGTACTGGGGATTGAACTCAGGATTTCGTGCTTGTGAGGCAAGTACAACACCACTTGAGCTAAATCCCTGGTCCTTATAATTAACAAGCTTTAATTGAAAGAATTTATTAGTTTATTTTAGGTTATGTTGTATATTTTAGAATTAAAAAATATTTATTATTGTATATATGTAGTATATAATGATTATATTATAGGGTGTTGGTACACATAAATAACACATCTTAATTTTTGTTACTTCCCTTTTCTCTCCCCTACCTTGTTCCTATATTGCTATATTTCTTATTTTTATTCTATATTTCTATAATGATTCTTCTGAAGATTGTAAAATTTTTTCTCCTCATAGGAAACTTTTGAGAGAGAAATAGGGTGCTGCTGGTGATATTAAGCATTATGTTGGGAAAGCAGGTATACACTGATGTGTGGTCACTTTAGGTTGGACAGGTAAGAGAAGGCCAGTCATCCTGCTCTGTATGCAGTTCAGATGTGTGGATTCTACACTAAGTGCAACAGGAAATCTTTGAAGGTGTTCAAGCACAGGACTTTCATGATCTTATTTAAAAAGATCACTGCAGTCATAGAGTGGTCTCGCAAAGCACAAACTCAGGATGCTGAGGAGCCTGTCTGGACACAATCTTATCACTGTTCAGAAAAAAAAGCACACATACTTTCTATCATTTTCACCCACAAAAAATAAGTTAAACCTATGAAAGAATCACGTAAAAAACACAAGAAATGTGATTATAAAATACTTGAGGACATAATTTCACTTCCAAATAATTTTACTGGTTCTAAGATTTCTGTGAGTTAAAAGGTAATCTAAAATGGAGATGAATCATAAACATGAGATTAAAGAATCTCTTATCATTTCTCCTTTGTCTTGGAATTCCTATTACGATTTAAATGAAGATATAATCAGTTTTCAGTTTTCGACTGTGATAATATATTAGTTCATTTTTGAAAAAAAATAGTAGAGTCTTAGGGAAAAGGGAAAAGTTATTAAATGTTCTGTAAGTTACTGTAAATTTCGGCCATAGTTGCATAACAAACAAAAGGAAAAAGCTGCCATTGACTTACAGTGCAGACCCCATTTGGGTAATGTTCTTTTACATATGCTCGCAGTGCAGTTTCTACAGAAGTTCTCCATGATTCAATTGCATTTTCTGCTTCGTAGAGTCTTGGATCAGTTGCTTCCTTTCTTAAGTGATCAAATTTGAAAGAGATTCTGTTTTTTGGATCCAAAAACTTTCCATTTCCCAAATCGCCATGTTCTGTTATCAATACCTTCAATGATGGAATTAATTTATAAAAGCAGTATTTAAAACAACACTTACAGTACACGCATGCATACTAATATATGTTCACTTAAGCTTTATCCTTAAAACTACAAAACAATTTTACTTTAAGCAACTAGTTAATTATATAGTAAAATTATAATAGTAAGTTCAGCATAATGACAATGAGGCTATTTTCATTCAGGATAGATCAGATTTGCTATCAATGTAACTTTTGGGTACCTAGTTGGGGGAAAATGCACCACTACTTAATACTGTTGGCGTCCAGCTATTTCCTTTCGAGAACTAGTAGCCATTTACTATTTCTAATATTAAGCTCAAGTTCTCAAAACTAAGAAACTGGTGATAACCTTCAGTAGAGTGGTTACAAGAATGGTTTATAGCCAGTGAAGCTCTTCAATGTGCCCACCTTGCTATGGGGCCCACACCCTCATCTACTCTCAAGTATCTGCTTTTGTTTTTTTATAAACTACTTTTTATTTTTTACAAACTCCAAATTTTTATTTTTACAAATAACAGGCAACAAAACTTTATTTTAAAAATACATTTCCAGATTATTTTCTCTTTGGAAGAAGAGTGAGCACCAATAAAAATGGTGAAATATTGTTGTACACATATTTTAATATACTGGTGTTTTAATTTCCATTGGATGCTGCTTTTTAAATTTTAATACAATTATTGTACATTTATGGGGTAAATGTTTATCTATCACCTCAGTCATTAATTTTTTTTTTTGATTAGGAACACTCAAAATCCTCTCCACTAGCTATTTTGAAATATATATTTAATTGTCAACCATCATCATTATACTGTGCTACAAGAATGCTTTCAATTCTATGGGACAGATTCCCAGCAGTAGTGACAAAGAGAGCCAGTAAAAAGTTTATGTATGTGTGTGTGTGTGTGTGTGTGTGTGTGTGTGTGTGTATTTTTGGTACCAAGGATTGAACTCCGGTCCTTGCACTTGCAAGGCAGGCCACCGAACTGCTGAGCTAAATCCCAGGCCCCCTAAAAAGTTTATATATTTTTAATACATAATTGGATTACTTTTCAAAAACTGGTCTGTGAGAACCTACATTTCCATAAACACGAGTAGGTTTCCTTCCACATCACCACTATCAACAAGCATTACAACTCCCTTTTTAGTTTGATGGATATAATTTTAATTACATTTCTCTGATTTCTGATCTGAAAACTGATAAGGATTCTAATTAAAGTTCCATAGAATTTACTTATTAGATTTCAAATAATTTATGTTTCTAAGAATGGGATACAATGAACTTCTCCATTATTCAGATCTTGTTTTATAAGGTTAACCACTGTTTTCTTCATGATCCTACTTCTTGATAAATTTGTTCCTAAAGTAATGTATACTTTTTACCATTACTTTAAATGAGATTCCCTGGTGAACTCTAACCCCTATTTCTACTTTTAGGTACTTACTTTCAGCAACAGAGAACAGCTAATAATTGTTGTACACAGTACTTACCTTAAATACAACAATCTCACCATATTCTTTTAAATCCAGCAGCTTTTTAGTTGAGGGTTAAATTAATAATTTCTTGGTATTACTAACTATATAAATCATATCACCAAAAAGACAAATTATTAGCTTTACATTCTCATCTCTTTCTCTTCTCTGCTATAACTTTATGATTAATAACATGAGTAGGCATAGCTAATGTTTAGTTTTAACTAAAACTGTTTTAGAGTTGTAGTTGACATTTATTATTGATTTTGCTTAAACAATTGTATTTAACAAATTTCTGTCTGCATTTTAAACACTGAAGAGTGTTTGTTTTTCATAGGAAATCATTGCTGGGCTTTTTAAAATCCCTTTACAAAATCTACTGAGATGAATATATTGATTCCCTTTACAGGGAACTACTTTTGCGTTCTTATAAAAAGTTCTGCTCAGTCTTGGTATATTATTCTTTTGATATATTTCTGGACCCTATTTATCAATATCCTAAAGTTTTAAAAATCAGTAGTCATGTGAAATTAATATGCTACTTATCTTTTCTAGGTTTAAGAATAAAAATTATGCTAGGCTCGTAAAATGACTTTGGAAGTCATCCAACATTTTTAAAAGATGCACACTCTCACCCAGCAAATTTTGTTTTAGGGATCTATCTCAAGAAAACAACTGGCAATGTGATCAGGGGTACAAAGAAATTCAATGTACCATTGTTCATATTAGTAACCAAAAAAAAAAAAAAAAAATTAATTAAAAAAAAAAACCAAATCTCCAGAGAAATAAAATGAATTTAGAAGATTAATACAATGAAACACTATAGTTTTATATGTATACATACACACATGTGTATCTACATATAACCCCTTCAGTTACAAGTGATCTTTTGTTTAGAGCTTTTCTCCTACAACTACAAGACTATACATTATAAATGAATAATGCCAAACACAAGCTTTGGAATAATTAGCCACTAAGAATTTTCTCTTGTATTCTTTCTTAACTATCTTCTCTTATATATTCTTCCTACCAGTTCCCTCCTCATATAGTTTTATATAAGTTGTACTTCATGTAAGCATGATATGAATTATTACAATCATTATTCAATTATTAGTAACTCTAAACTAAAATAAAAAGCTAGTAACCTGCTGTGGCTTTTATAAGCTTAGCAATTTTAACTGCATTTTGGAAAGAAAATATTTAATAATTACTAAATGCTAGATTACTCACATGAAGAACTGTAGAATTCCAGAGCAATCAAATTATGATATAAATCTTACTAATATATATTCTAGATTTTGAGTTAATATAGGATTGGTATTTTTTCCTATAAAAAACAAGAAAGATTTAAAGCAATTATTTTCTAAAATCTTCAAAGAATTACATGAGTATGTCTGTCTAAAAGGGACTTTCTGCTAATAGTATATAATAATCTCAACAAAAAATTTTCAATTACTTTGCCAGTAAATGGCTATGATTAAAAAGGATATTTTTATCTTTAAGCATAGCACTTCACAATTCTTGCATAATTTAAAAGTTATTAAAAGAAACAAATAGTCAGACTCTATGCTTATATGAAACATACCTGATCTTCATAACCTTCAATTTTTACTGGAGTAAACTGATCCAAGTTATACTGTGCAAATGCACTAAAAAAGAAAAATGTCAATACTTAAAACAGTGTTAACTTTCGAAAAATCACAAACAATTCACCTTTCAATAAAAGTCTCCTAGGGCTGGGGATTTAGCTCAGTGGTGCCACCTCCTGACTGTCTTGCAAGCCCAAGTTCCTCAGTTTGATCTTCAGAACCAAAAAAAAAAAAGTCTCCTATATTTTACACGGCCAAGACAGTTTTTCTCTTTTTTAAATTTATGAGACAGTGCCTCGGTGTCTCAGTATGTAGTTCAGGCAGGCCTGGAATTCACTATACAGATGGACTTCAACTTGCAGAGAGTCTCCTGCTACAGTGTCCCTACTGCTGGGATTATAGATATGCACCTCCAGGCCAGCTATGATCTTACACTATTTATAAACACAATACAGATATAGCTGTTTATTGCTTTTTTTTTTTTTTTTTTTTTTTTTTTTGCTGTCAGTGGGGATTGAACTCAGGGCCTTCACAATGAAATGCATCCTAAGCACTTTTTATTTTTAGAGAGAGGGTCTTGCTAAATTGCTCAAGCTGAACTTAAAACTGCCAGTCTCCTTCCTCAGCCTTCTAGAGTGCTAGGAGTGTACCACCATATCCAGCTTATGGCTATTTCAAAAATTGATTCATGATATCCAGCCGTCAAAGTTTAATAATATAAAATTGGCCAGTAAGTATAACTGGCACTTTCATTCAAAATCCTGAAGGTAAAGATTATTGATTTATATCCAATTATTCAAGTACCATATAATTTTAAAAACCAGAAAACAAACTAGGTGCTGTGAAAATCAGAGACATCCTATAGAATAGAAAGAGAGAAAGGATGAGTATAACCATAACATAAGGTAGAAAGTACCGTAAGAGAATTACTAATAATGCACTGTAAAGAATACATAAATACATACATATATATGTAATTCTGTTAAGGAAAGAATAAGAAGAGAAGAGAACCTGGGCTAGTTTTATGGTGGATGTGATGAGAAATGCACTTAAAAAACTCAGCAGGTACTGATCTGGGAGAAATTGGAATGACAAGCAAGAAAAGAGTATTTCAACTAATGGGACCAGAAAACACCAAGTTCAATAAGTCTGTCATATAGCACATGTTCAGGCAGTTACAGTTATTGAATTGAACTGATAGCCTTGAATGATGGAATAATTACAAAGTCACAGAAGCTTTCTGAGAATCAAAACCAAAAAAGCACTTCTAAAGATTAATTTGGCAGTACTATGTATAGCAAATTGGGTAGCAGAACCAGAAAAGGCAGTTAGGCTAGTGCAAATATCCATAGTAGAACTACAGTCTAAGCTAAAAAATGGTGGGACAGACTGGAGAACAAAGGCTCTCTCTACTTTCAGGAATTTAGCTCAGTGGTTTTACCACCTGTCTCTCAAGCACAAGGTCCTGTGTTCGATCCCCAGTACCAAAAAACAAACAAACAAAAAGCAAAAAGAATTTGTCTCCAACCTTAATCTACTTGGGAGCTTTTTCAGATTACTCTAGATGCCCAGATGTCCAGTGATTTTTCATATACAGTAAGCCCCTGATTTACAAAACACTGCAGGTGCAAACTTTCACAAGTGTACTGTGTAAGATTCTTGGTCATATACAAACAAGTCTGACTCTCAAGCATTCTAACAGAATGGAACTCATTTGAAAGTCAGACTTGCTGTATTAGCCTTAGTCTCCCCTGAAAAGGAATGTTTTGTTGAGCAAAGCATTATCGATGAGTTGAAGGAGACTAGTAAATATAAAAATACCAAAGAAGAGTTAAATTACCATTTGTCAAATTCCTGACACTGCATGTTTAAGGAAAAGGAAGGTATGAAGCATATGGGTGGGAGAAACCAGTAGATATCCACTTTTTCCTTAATTTATTAAAACTGTAGTTTTCCTAAGAACAGTCTCACTATAGTCAGGCAGTTATTCCCCTTTAAGTGATTTATTTCAAAAGTATGCTTGTAAACTATGTCTGTTAGAAGTTAGCATTCATTCTTGTAATAAAAGCCATATTTAAATACACTGATCTTAGCCAAGAGGCTGAGAAGCAATGCCGTATTTAAACAGTAATTTGGTTCCAGGTTGGCCCAAGAGCCATTTACCATTCATAATATCAAATCCAGCCATCTCTAAGTTGCAGGGGAAGAACAGAAGATGATTAGAAAACTTGTAAAATGCAAAACAAATGAAATTCATAAAATGTTATCTTCAATGCTTGAAGCAAGTTAAATGCTAACATTATGGAATACAGTGAAAAAGTACTCACTAACATAGGAGTCAGAATATTTGTTTTATCCCATCCTTATTATTAGTTACTATGAGCCTTGCTTATCTATAAAAATGGGTCCCACTTTTCTCATCTATAAAAACAACAGTGTAGACTAGACAGAAGACTTTTTGATTTTTTTTCCTTTTTTTTTTTTTTTTTTTTTGGTACTGGGGATCGAACTCTGGCCCTTGTGCTTGCGAGGCAGGCGGCAGAACCATGGAGCTAAATCTCTGGCCCCTAAACAGAAGACTTTTAAAGTTCCTTCTGTTCAGAAAACTCAGAGCTGCAGTAGCGCAACTGGTTAATGTGTGGTACTTATACAGAAAACTCTACACACCCACTCATCATTCACTCATCTACCTCACCATCCATGCAAATATTTACTAAGGTCTTATTACTATATGCTGAACACTCCACTGGACACAGTGAAAACAACAGTTCTGCAGTCCAATCATCCATTCCTAAGTCATCTGTTACTATCAATTTTTACAATCTTTACTACTAATCAATCAAGTCGTATATGATACTTTTGTCCATACTTTCTCCTCAGTTTAGCCACATCACTGCTCTTATTCAATATGAAAACTCATCATCATTTAAGAATCAGTTCAAAAAACTACTGCTACATAAAAAAAAAAATTCTTCTCTTGGTGTTTATGAACCTTTAATATATCTCTATAATTATATTTTATTTCATACATGTCTTGCTACCCATTGGAAAATCCCTATTTACTTTATAATCTTAGTTGAGTATGGCATTCTTTTATCCACTGAATAAAAAAGGCTATTTATGAATATGTCTAAGTGGTCTACATTTGAGAGTACCAACTCTTCAGTAAGTCTAATTTTACTTTAAAATATACTGAGTCTGTGTACTTAAGATGTTCTGTTAGAATCACTATAGCCCTGTTTCTTCCCTTTATGAAAAGAAAAGGAAAAAGATGAAAGGAGAAGAAGCAACAGGGCAAAGATGGAATAAGGATGTGTCAAGAGATTATCTAAAAGAAATACAACAGTAAAAAAAGTAACTGAAGAAGAAAAAAATTAGTATATGGCTATAGGCTTTCTCCAGCAAAACTGCACCAGGACACATTCTGAATGTATTTGTGATAACTTTTAGATTTGTGTTATGAATTTTGGTCCAATTTAATGTTAAGTAATTGTTATGATTTGGATCTAGGATGTCCCCCAAAGTCTGTGATTGCAGGTGAGGATTTTGGACTGTGATTAGGTTAGGGGGTTCTATACTCATCAGTAGATTTATTCACTGATGAACTCATGCTTACAGGTGTTCCCAAAAGGTGAGGCCTAACTGGAAGAGGCAGAGCATCAGGGGTATGACCTAGAAGGTTGTATCTCCCTCTCTAGTCACTCTCTTAACTTTCTGTTTCCTGACCACCATAATATGAGCAGACTCTTCCACCAATCCCCTCCTTGGAGCCAGCAGACAATGGACTGAATCTTCCAAACACCATGAGCCAAAATAAACCACTCTTTCTTTTAAGCCATAGGAGTAAGGTTTGTGTCCTAGTGAGAAGAAAGTGGCTAAGAGAAATTCTGACACCAGATGTAGAGATGATTTGTGTCTATACCTGACCATGTGGTTCAGAAGAACTAGTTTGCAGGAAGAATTTGAAAGATATGAAGATGCTGGCTAACCACTAGAAAGCTTTAAGGTAAGCTTGATGGAAAATTCTTATATGAAGGCTCAGAAAATCAAAATGCTAATAGAAATGTGTGCATAGTAAAGGCCAGGCTCAGAAGGTACCAGTTGGGAACAAGGACTCTATTGGCAGTTGGTCTGGAAGTTTGTCTACAATTTGCCCATGTACTGAGATAATGTGGGAGACTGAGAAAAAGGGTGGCAGACTAACCTAGTAGAGGAAATTTCAAAGCAGCCCAATGTTCAGGTTGTGGCCTAGATATTCCTGGCTGCTTTCAGTCAGATGTAACAGTGAAAATCAGGAGCAAAAAACACATTTCAAAAGTGTAGAGTATCCCCAGAAAGGAAAACTAATAATTTAGGGTATGGTTATTGAAAAGATTAGCAATAAAAATAAACCAAGTACTTTGTATCAAGACAAGAAGATACCTTGAAGGTATCTAAGGAATCAGCAAGACCTGGCCCTCATACTTTTAAGGGCACAAAAGTGAAAGACTTTACTTTGAGAAGAGAGAGCCAGGGAATTCTTCTCAAAAAGGGCTACTTATGATAGAATTGGTACCTGGAGATTCAGTTATAGTGCTTAGAATCCAGGCACTTAAGAGGCCTCTGCAGCCATCATTCAACAGGGCTACTGCTCAAGGAAGATCACAGAGTAATCCATGTATTGCAGGGTGAGCATGAAACAGTTATGGAGTCAGGGAAGTTTCCACCCAGGTTTCAGAAGACCTGGGAGGGCAGTCAATGCAATCCTAAGTGCCGTGCATGAAATTGTGAAAGTGAAGCCAGGGGCACAGTGGAGACTGCAGCAAGTTAGAGAAGCCAGGCATGTGGCATGTCTGCTGAGAAAAGCTGAAGGCAGTAAGTATAACCATTCCAAGAGAGGTAAGAATGGTTGCAACTGGTAATGGATTGGTAGGGGGTTTTCCAAGCCCTCTGGAGTTCAAAATTCACCACAATTTGCCCTGGGTGCTGGACATAGAATTATAAGATTTAGTGATTATCCTACTGGGTTTTGGTCTAATTCCTGTTGTTTTTTGTTTGTTTGTTTTTTGTTTTTGGTATCAGGGATTGAACTCAGGTCCTTACACTTGTGAGGCAGACAGCGGAACCACTGAGGTAAATCCCTGGCTGGTCTAATTCCTTTCTATCACCCTATTTCCCTTTGGGAATGGGAATAGTTATACTCTGCCATTGTATTTAGAAGTGTTTAACTTTGTTTCTGATTTTTACAGGGGCCCATAGCTAAGAGTTTACCTTGAGTATCACCGAAGACTTCTGACTTGGAAATTTCAGCATTGCTAGAACTATTAAAACTCTGGCCAACTCTTATGAGACAGACTAAATGCATTTTGCATAGACATATACATGAGTCTTCTAGAGGCCTGTGGTTAAAATGCTATGGTTTGAATCTAGAATGTCCCTTAAAAATCTCAGAAGTGAGACCTTCTGAAGATGACTGGATCATAGGGACATATATTCACAGACTAAATGTTCTATCAGAAGAGGAAGATCACTGGGGGTAAGACCTTGAAGGATGCATCTCCATCCACAGCTCCTCTCTTTTCTCCCTGGTTCCTGGTCATCACAATGCAAGCGGTTTTCCTATGTCAGATACTTCCATCATGCCCTTCCAGCCTTGGAGCCAGATAACTATGGACTGGATCCCCTAAATATTGTTAGCCAAAGTAAAGCTCTTTTCCTTAATTTGTGTGTTAAATACTCTGTCCCAGTGATGAGAAAGTAATGAAGACAGTGACAAATCCTCTTCTTTTGAAGGCAAATTCAAGTTTCAGTATTTCAAAAGTAATTTAGAACTAAGTTAAGGGAAAAAACTGTGTAACATATTTTGTTGAAAAATTGTTTCACAGAGAGGACATTCTAAGCCAAAGTAGTATCATTCTAAATTCATTCCATAGTTTAGAGTTTAATTCTGCACTTTACAGACACCTTTAGATTTCTATAAATGATCTCAATAATTACTTTGTTTTGTTTTTTGTACTGGGGACTGAAATCAGGACCTTGGGTTTGTGAGGCAGGTGCGGTGCCAGTGAGCTGAATAAATCTCCAGCCATAATTAATTTTTTTTTTGGTACTGGGGATTAAACTTGGGTGCCTGCACTTGTGAGGCAGGTGGTGGCACTACTGAGCTAAATCCCTGGCCCTTGTTTTAAGAAATTGTATGCAAAGAATATTAAGTCAACAACTGTTTTCTCTACTAGTTCATCTAGACAGCAAACACCTACTGAGAGTATAAACACATTCAAGAAAATTAGAAGTGTACATTAAAGGTTTGATGTTTGGTGTTACTTGGGGTCATATACTACAAATATGATCTTGTTCTACCATAGTTTTGTTTTTTTTGGGGGGTACTGGGTATGGGGGAATTGAACTTGGGTCCTTGTGCTTGAGAGGCAGGCGGCAGAACTACTGAACCAAATCCCCAGACCTACCATAGCTTCTTATTTCCAAAAGTTCTCATTTCTTTTAAGAGATCAAAGTATCATATTTCCCACTTCAATGTGCCTACTTCTTAAGCGTATACCACTTTGTCCAAGAAATTGGCTTACAATAGAAATATAGGTCACAAATTTTTTTTAGAACAAATCCCACTTATTTAAATTAAGCATAACAAAAGTCAATCAGGATGAATATGAAAATACAAATACTTTTATTTAATCTTGACTCAAATATACGACTTCATATCACTTACAGAATTATGCATATTTCTCTCGTTTTTCACTAAAATTTATTCTGAAAAATTCAATGAATCAAATTTTTGTTTTTAAACTGAAAAAAAAATCCACTAATTGTTGCACCTACACAAAACCTATTTACTTATTTAACACAAAACTCAGAAGAAATAAATTTTCAAAGTACTGTTGTTGTTAAGTGCTTTCTTTGAATCCATAAAATAATTTTGTCAACATGCTATGTGCTATTTAAAGAAAATTAATCTTCCTTGAACATACAAAAAATTTCAATAATACTTAAAAAAATTTAGATATACATGGCCTAGCTATTTAGAAGTTGTTAACTAAAATCAAAGTATACACTAAAACCAATTCCTATAAAGTAATTTAAGCCAGTCATAAAAGGACAAATACCATACTCTTCCACTTAAATATTTAGAGTAGTCGAAGTTATAGAAAGTAGACTGGTGTGGTTGCCAGGGGTAGGAAATGGGGAGTTATTAAGTGTCAGTTTGGGGAAATGAAAAAAAAAACTTCTGGAAATGGATGATGGCTGCAGCCATACAACATAAACGTACTTTGAGCCAACTGTTCACTTACTGGTTAAATGGTAAATTTTGTTATGTGTGTTTCCCAGAATAAAAGCTGCTTTTAAAAATAACACTTTAATCAGAAGCAAAATCAGGTGTATCCAAAAGTCTATTAAATCTCTTCTGCGAGCAGCGTTGACCATAAAGATCAAATTTATAAAATAAAGCCTCAGCTATAAGAGAATTAGAAAGACTGTCCTACAATAGTAAGGATTCCACATACTGAGTAGTATGCTAGGAAGAAAAGTAGCTGACTGGATGGGTTGAAAAAAATTCTAAGGCACTTAAAAAGCTATATAATTATTTCATTATTTTCAGATGAGTAATGAAGGTGGTTAGCCTAAAACATGGGTCTCCAGATTTTATTTTGAGAGGTAGGAGAGATCAATTATTTCTCATGAGTTGCATGGTCACTGGTCCAAAGATAATGTATCAGGGCTACAAGTGCCTAGTTTTTTGGAACACTCAAAAATTCAGTGAATATTTATTGTTAGGTACTGTTTAGTATTTATGGATGAATAAAATAACCCTACATCCCCTGAAGATCTTAAAAATGCATTAAGGTCAAATCTAAAAACAGGAAAATCTACATAAAAGTTAAAGCAATCTCCAATTAAGAACTAATTTTATCCAAATTAGCAAAAGTCAAAATATATTAACTGAGTATTTGAGACACTGTCAAAAATACAATTATAGACAATTTCATGTTGTGCCTTTAAGTCCTTTTATGATGAAAAATATTTCCCTTTAAGGCTGGGGATATAGCTCAGTTCAAGTGCTCACTTAGCATGCACAAGATCCTGGGTTCAGTGCCTGTGTGCACATATACGTACATACACACATGCAATTCTTTTCAAATATAGTACATATATATATATAATTACATATATTTTACATATAATTTGATGTTCAAATCTCTGTTATCAGGGATTAGTGCATAAATACCATTTTTAAAACATATTTTCCTATGTCATTTAATTGTTAATATTAAATACTTACTGGGCTGCTCCCTCTCTGAGGAGATTATCATTATTAAGCAGTAATCGAACATCTGCAAAACAAATATGTTTTCTATATCACTTTTTTATGTTTGGAGAACAAAAGGAATACAGATTATTTTAGTTATATATTTAACACCCCCCAACCCAAATGCAAGCAAGATCAAAATGTCATTCTAATGTCACTCAAAATACCCACACATACATGGCATTTTAAAAAAATAAGATTTTGATTAGAAAATAGACGAGGGAATTAAACAGAAATACACACAATTTTGTATTCTTAATAGTTAATGCAGCTATACTGTACTATATCTCCAAAGAACTAAGGTGGAGATAAGCTACACCAGAAGATGATTCAAGATCTGCAGAAAAGACTGAGGACTATACCTCTTAGTTTGACAACACAATTATCAACTTTAAATTTGCTCTATAGAAAAAATGATTAAACAATAACAGTTTGTGATCAGAATCTATATACACAAGCATTTGTGTTCTTTGACAAGACATGTTCAAAGAACAGATAACTAACTCCACTTTGACTTAATAATCTGACATTAGGGCCGGGGATTTAGCTCAGTGGTTTCGCCACCTGCCTCGCAAGTGCAAGGACTGGAGTTCGATCCCTGATACAAAAAAAAAAAAAAAAATCTCACATTGGTTTATTCTTAATTCACCCTAATTTTAAAGAGGACGCTGGACATTTTCAAGGTGATATTGCCATACATGACACTTCTAATTTTAGCCTCTATTCTTATGTAGACATTTAACTATTAATCATTAAAAAATAAACTCAAAAATAATATTATTGGAAAATCCAATAACTTTTAAAAAATGAAAAAAAATTGCATAGTTTCACCAGTAAATAAAATTCTATTATACTCATTTGATGTATCTTTCACTATTTTTTATTAAGCATCTCGCTATTTTACACAGTTGCTATTATATAATACACAAAACATCATTTTTTTAATTAAAACAAATTACCAACAAATTTCCCACTAAGAAACTAGTTAAATATGTAAACAGACTATAGTTCTTATACATAGTGAGAAATTCTTATACTCCAACAGCCATTAAAAACGTAGATACCCATTTATAAACATGGAAATGCATTCATAATAAAATAGGAAGGGGAAATTCAGTCAGTATAGTTTTAGCGTATTTATATTTGTTCTGTATATTGAGAAATGTGGAAATAGTTCAGATGGAGAACTAAGGTAGATTTTATGTTGCAAGCATCTATGTGTGTGTGTGTGTGTGTGTGTGTGTGTGTGTGTTTGCTATGTTTTGGTGGTGGTAGTGTATTCCGAACCTAGAGACCTCTGTATGCTACGTAAGCACTCCATCACTGAGCTATATTCTCAGCCCTTTTAAAATTTTATTTCCAGCCAGGATCTTGCTAAGTTATCCATAATGGCTTTGAACTTATGATTCTGCCTCAGTCTCCTGATCAACTAAGATTACATGTATGTGCCACCATGCTTGGCCTGAATTTTGTATGATTTTTAAGTTCTTTTTTGCACATCAGAAAATTTTCAAATGACTATAAATCATGTTTACAAAAATAATAAAGCCATTTCAAAAGAAAAATATTGCATATTCACATACACTTTTTCAGCAATAGGCCCTGATTTAAAAAAAAATACCTCTTAAGCCAGGAATGGTGGTACACTCCTGTAATCCTAGTACTTAGGAGGCTGAGACAGGAGGATTCCCACAAGATCAAGGCCAGCATGGGCTACACAGTGAGTTCAAGACCAACCTGAGCTACACAGTGAGACCTTATCTCAAAAAAACACCCCCAAAACCAAAAAAACCAAAAATCTCTTTTGCTAAATCATTAACAGTACTGAATTTCTAAATTAACTAACTTTAAAATATGGACTCTTCTACTTAAATTATTTAGATAACAAAAGATGATTACAATTATGGTTATTCTTATTCCACCCCACCTCCAAAAAAACAAATTGGGAAATTCTTTTTGATAAATAATTCTTTTATCTTCTATATTTTTAAGTAATAATTGTGTCATATGGTAATTACCCTTTTCAATTCCAAACAAGGAATAATTTAAAAGTAAGATTTGATTCAGGTAAGTGATACATTGAAAAGAGTTACCATGCTTTCGTCATAAGGAAAGTAGAAGAAATAGAAAATATTAGAATTTGAATAAAATAAAATGCTACTCTTAAAGAAGGAATTGGCTGTGGAGCCTAGCCAGGCTACATTTCAGAATCAAATGATGGTGGGTGGAAGGCTTTAGAAAAAGAAGAAAAAAAAAAAGTTTCAGAGCCTAGCCCAGACCTACTGGTACTAATCAGTTTTTGCAAATGAAGACCAAAAATCCATGCTTCAATGATTCTAACGTAGTCTAGAAATTAGCATTTAGGATCCACTGAGCTGTTAAGATTTTATGGCTGTGATTTTTAGATATTTTGATTCTCTTGGAATCATTCTGATACCAAAGTTTTCAACAGAAAGTTAGAAAAATAAATTCAAAGGAAATTTCCCTTTTAAATACAATATTCCTTTTAATTCTAAAATCCCTCTGAAAGTTAAATTCCACATCCCACTCACATTCCACAGTTCATTCTCTACCCCTGGCCCATTTAATGGCCCATTTTAAATGCCCAAATTTAATGTGCCTCAACACAGAATATACCAATTCAATGTCAATTTCAAGTAAGACTTAGAAAACCAATTTTCAAGACTCATACATTCTTTTTGGACCTTGCTGATGAATTTTAAAAAAATATTCAGGGCATTTAAAGATATAAGAACCATACAAGAAGGTTTTCTTATACTTTTTTTTTTTTTTTTTTTTAATTTTTGCACTGCTGGAAACTGAATTCAGGGCTTTCACACTAAGCTACAACCCCAAGTATTTAAAAAATTTTAAAGACACAGCCTCACTGAGGTTGTGTTCAAACTTGCCATCTTCCTGCCATAGCCTCCGAGAGTGCTGAGATTACAGGGCTGTGCCACCACACCTGGTTCTAATTTATTTTTATCATTATGAACTGTTCAAGGAGCTTGGGAGCTATTGACTTTAGCGCAGTTTCACCACTACCAAGTTACACACCAAATATGAAATTAATCTGAGATTATCTTCTTTAATCCCCCACTAACTGCATTAATTTATGTGTAGGTAGCTCATAAGTAAAAAGTACAAGAAGCAAAAATACTTTTTAATTGACTCCAACTCTTCTGCTTACTACCTGAGATTTAATTTTCTCTTAAATAGCAAAAAATTTTTAATTTCTAGATTTCTTTTTGCAGTGTAGATTTTCATTCTTTCTTCACTTGTGCACCAGTGGCTAAGTTTTAAAATAATAGAAGAAATTCAAAATGTAAACATATGCACTAAATCATATGTTATAGCTTGTGGATGATTTAAAGAATTTTCAAGATTAATTTTAACTTAATATAATTTTAACCTCATTTTTTGTTTTCAATCCACATCTTTTCTGAGGTGGTATATTATATTTATACCATGAAAAAATGAGTGACTAAACTTTTTTTAAAAAAACATGGATGCACATATGTCACTGTGGTATGATGCTTTCATTTATTTATTTTTTTGTTACCGGGGATTGAACTTGGAACCTTGCTCTTGCAAGGCAGGTGGCAGAACCACTGAGTCTGAGTGACTAAACTTTAAAAACATTTTAAATGGTATACTCTGAGTAGGATGTTTAAAAGTTGAACCATGTGTAAATCCACCTTTAACTTAAAAAACATGGTAAAAGCCAAATATATACTCAGCAGAAATAACACATTTATAGTACTTGTGGAAACTTCTGTGAAGAGATTACTATGAGCCACTTTCTACATGATTCTCTCAAATCTGTCATTTTTGCTGTGGAGGAATAGATACTGCTGTCATTATGGCAACCAGGACACTTTCACAACAGCTGAAATTTCTGGTCTATGACTGGATAATTATAAGACATAATTTAAATAACAAATGGTTTTTATATTTTATCATTTTTTATGCATGAACATATTTCCCCTGTTTTATTGGCCATTCATATTGATCTAGTGGCTTCTTTTTTAAAAAGAAAGTTTTTAAAAAACAATAATGATTCTTGCCTTTTTAAATTATTTAAATGTTCTACTAAAGAAAAACCTACTTGCAGTTTTACTAAAATAACACAATTTATCAAAAAAAAATCCCGTAAACCAACTTTCACAGAATAAGGCTATATTCTACGCAGTAGTAAGAACAGATTTTATTCTTTTAAAAAAATAATTTGTCAGAATTGTCATATATATATATATATATATATATATATATATATATATATAAAATAAATACATCTAGTTATTAAAAAATCCAGATTCACAAAAATGTTTACTCTAATTCAGAAAATACATATTTTTCTGCACACGCTTAAGAAGCTTAATCTGGTAGTAGAGTTTTCTTCTAAAAAGTGAATACTTTAAAAAGAAGAGCATTGATACACAAAGCCTTAGTTTTACAAATTAAATACTCACCATTAAAAACCTAATAAATACATCTAGTTATTAAAAAATCCAGATTCACAAAAATGTTTACTCTAATTCAGAAAATACATATTTTTCTGCACACGCTTAAGAAGCTTAATCTGGTAGTAGAGTTTTCTTCTAAAAAGTGAATACTTTAAAAAGAAGAGCATTGATACACAAAGCCTTAGTTTTACAAATTAAATACTCACCATTAAAAACCTCATTAAACTCTCCAGGAGGGGCATGAATGATGAATTTTGCTGCTATACGTACCTAAAATAGAAGTGAAGGTATAAATATTCCATAGCATCTATCTGCTAGAATAAAAAACATGCAAAATTATACAACTTCAAAGTTCTCCTGAAAATGATGTGAGATATTAAAATATAGTTACAGTTCTTCACTCAAATACACTGCTTTAATCACTTAATATAATAACATACAAGCTGAATGTACACAAAATATATAATTTAATGTACTTAATGATTCCAAACTGGTGACAGATAAACATTTTCTTACAATCAATTGTATATCTTTTACTCTACAGTGAAAAAAATCATGAAAATTTCTTATGTGTGAAGTAAGATGCATTTAGGTACATCGACAAAAAACTGATTTACTGTGTTTATAATGTCACAAATCAGTGAAACCATAGAAATAAAGAGGAAAAGGGGTCTAAATTCAAAAGGTTTAACATGAAATTTGAATAGCTCTTAGGAAATGTTAATGTAATAAATGAGAGAGACAACATCAACAAGTGTTGGGAATTGCCTATTTTAAGAAAATAAATGCTACTCTGACATGATTAATCATTAATGAAAATGTATCTGTGAGGTTAAATAAGCCAACACAATAATTCAGTGAAGGAGCTCTGAACAAAAGCACTGTGAAGTCATAATGGCAAAGAAACTAGATTAACAAAACCAATTTTAACCAAGAATTTATTTGAAAACTTCTGATTTGAACACTGTTAAATAAAGTTAGTCATCAAGATAATGTAGGTTAGCGAGGCGTGGTGGTGCATGCCTGTAATCCCAGCACACGAGAGGCTGAGACAGGAGGATCGCTATGAGTTTGAGACCAGCCTGGACTACACAGTGAGTTCCAGGTCAGTCTCAACTACATAGTGAGACTCTGTCTCAAAAAAAAAAAAAAAAAAAAAAAAAAAAAAGAGATAGTGTAGGTTTAATGACCAGAGAACTGAACGTCCAAATATACATGCATGCATACACAGTAAAATGGTCATTAACAAAGGTAAAAAGACAATTTTAAAAAGGACTTGTTTTCAAAAAATAATACTGAAACAATTAAATGTGAAGGGGGGAAAAAAAGAATCTCAACCTAGACTTCACACTTTACACAAAAAATTCAAAATAGACTGTCCCTCTAAATGTAAAAAACAGAACTAAAATATGTAAAAGGAAACGAGAACATTTTAACGATCTAAGGTTAGCCAAAAAATTCTTAGATGTGACACTAAAACTGTAGTCCATTTCTTAAAAACTCACAAGTGGGACTTTGTAACAATTAAAAACTTTTGCTTTATTAAGAGCATGAAAAGACAAGCTGCAAAGTTGTACACATACAACTTCAAAAACCTGAAATGCTACAAAATTTGAGTTTTGTTTTTTTTTTTTTTTTGTGGTACTGGGGACTGAACACAGGGCCTATACACTGAGACATACCTACCCTCAGCTCTTAATTTTTTCTTTTGAGACAAGGTCTCGTTAAGTCACTAAGATGCCTCGGTGGACTTGAAATTCTCTTACCCCAGCCTTCCAGGGTGTTGACAAGAGCACACCATGACACCTGGCTGGGATTTGAAACATTTTGAGTGGTGGCATGATAATCAAAAAGTTTCGGATTTTGACATTTCAGGTTAGGGATTTTTAACCACTAAAGCTTATACTAACACTCCAAAATCCAAAACACTTTAGTTCCAAAGCCTTTCAGATAAAGGATACTCAGAGAGTAACATTTAATAAAGGACTTGCATCTAAAATATACATGGTACTCTTAACACTTAACAGTTAAAAAAAGAAAAGAAAGAAAAAGTAACCAAGAATAATTGAATAGATCCATCACCAACGAAGATGTACCAAGGACAAATAAATACCCAAAAAATGCTCAGTATCACTGGTCACCAGGGAGATGAGTAATGAACTCAGGAAATACTACTAGACACAGCATAGAAAGGGTAAAATATGAAGATGGACAACATCAAGTGCAGAAAAGGATGCAAAAGAACTGAACTCATATTATGATGAAAATGTAAAATATTATCTAGTATAGAAAATAGTTTGGCTGTTTCTTATAAAACTAAGTACACACCATAAGACAACAGTTCTACTCCTACCTATCTTCTTTAAGTAATACAAACTCATGTTCACACAAAAACTTAATTGTGGGCTGGGGACTTAGCTCAGCAGCCCAGTGCCTACTTGGCAAATATGAGACCCCGAGTTCAATTCCTGGTACCACAAGACAAAGCAAAAAAACAAAAACAAACAAAAACTTAATTGCTCAACACTGAATGGGTGAATGGACAGAAAAAGTGTGATACATCTGCACAATGGAATACTCCTTAGCAATAAAAAATATTAATACATGCAACAACTTGAATGAATCTGAATAAACCACTCTCAAAAGGTTAAATGGTTATAGGATTCTCTTTTTTTCAAAATACACCTAATACAACTATACTAACCACCATAGCTTAGTAATACAGTAATTGAAGCATATGGAATGTTTAGAATCCTAATCCTATGGCTGGCAAAGAGCTCCAGCTCTGCCCAGTGTAGCAAGAGCATTATATCACATGCTAGACATGGTGGCACATGGCACTGTGGGAGATTGAGGCATGAGGATCCCAAATCAGGGCCCAGTCTGAGAATCTTACCTACTTACTGACACCCAGGACTATAAAAGCAAAAATGAAAAAAAGGGCTGGGGATGCAGCTCACTGTGAAGGCACTGGGTTCAATTCCCAGCACCAAAAAAGAGTACCATAACACATTATCACTAGCTTGAGAAAAGACACAAATTCAAAATCTGAAGTAGAGCTTTTACTGACTGTAGGGTTTCTAATACTTCACATTTTTGGTGGTTGACATGTAAAAATTGTGCAAAATGTCAATACAGTAAAATCTTTTGCAAACTTTTAGAAATTTGAGGTATTTTTAAAAACATTAATGACTTATTCACTACCTACAAAACATGAAAAATTAAAATACTGATTGATAGTAAGCAGTATACATACAGTATGTGTAATAATGCAATTAAATAGCTGTTGAGCTTCAAAGTTTTTGTCTCCAAAAAAGGCTTACACCATTTAGAATTTGTCAGTTCTATTTTGAGTTTTCCCAACAAAAGGAAAAATGATCTACTTCTATCCTATAGACTAATTAATTTTGTGGCTGTGCTAAATGTAACCAAAAGATGTTACCAGACTCCTACAATATCCACTATGAATGGTAGGTCAAAAGCAGTATCACTATTTGATAGGGAGAGGCAGAGAACCTAAAACACAGCTTGGTTTATACCAGCTGTGCCTGAAATATTTTAATCTGATCTTTGTGAATTTCAGAAGGTAAAAACCCCCAACTTTGGGATTTTACCAAAGCTAGAGAAAGAAAGTGTACCTGTCACTATAAAGGCTATTATTTTCCTAAGATAATGTTCAGTCATTTGGGTATTTTCTATGCATTGCTGACTCAAAGTTCCACCTAAATGGGATTTTAATTTTTTTAGCTTTCTGTTAATGTAAAAAAATTTTACTGGTACACTTTTGATATACATAATGATCACATTCATCATAGGGAATTTGAACGTGTACATGATATATCTTAATTCTTTTTCCCCCATTCCCCTTCCCTCCCCTTCCCCTCCTTTCAACCTTTATTCCACTCTTTATTTACAAAAACTTTGTTTCCATTTTTTAAATTTCCATTCTTTTTTCTTCTTCTCTCTCCTGCTTCTTCCCTGAACATTTTCTTCCCACTTCCAAGTATCTATCCTCCATTTTGGTCCTTATTTACCCTTTGACTTCTCACAAGAGAAACAATGAGATATTTAAACATGTGTGTCCAATATATTTCACTTAAAAGTATGTTCCCAAGGTGCATCCAATTACCTAAAAATGTCTCTAGATTATCCTTATGAAAGAATAGTACTCCACTGTATATAAAAACCACATTTTCTTCATTTATTCATCTGCTGATGGGCTATTTCCAAGATTCAGATATTACAAACTGTGCTGCAATAAACATGGGTGTGCATATATTGCTGTGGTAGGAGGCATTTAACTCTTTCTGGAAGATGCCAAAGAGGGGAATAGGTGGGTCAAATGAAACCTTTAGTTTTAGTTTTTTAAAGAATCTCCATATTGGTTGTACCAATTTACACTCCCACCAACAGTGTAGAAGGGTTCCTGTTTCCTCACAGCTTTGCCAGCATTTATTGGTTGATTTGTTGATCATAGCCATTCCTTCTAGAGTGAGACGGAATCTCAGTGTGGTTTTAATTTGAATCTCTTGAATGACCAGTGATGTTGAACACTTTTTCATATATTCATTTACTGTTTGTACTTCTTCATCTGAGACGTCTCTATTCCTCTCAGATGCCCATTTTTGGATTGGCTCTTTAAATTTAGGGGAGAAATCTTAAAAAGTATTTATGTGTCCACTTCTAAATCTAAGAAAGAAAAACGGTCTTACAAGTTAACAGGAAATAGTCCCAGGAGTACATAGAATTTCAGAAAATAATTGAAAACATATTTCCTTAAAGTTTCTGTAATTCACATGGAGCTATGCTGTGGTTACCCTTAGAGATTACAGCTTTTTTGAAGAACCCAGTGAATTATTAGGTACATTACTGCTAAATTTTTTCATTAAGCAGTTTTCCTGCACATGATATTTTTCAAAATCTTTTTCAATCAAATTGGAGTAAAAATAAGCAGAGTTATTCCTTTCATAATATTTCTAAAATATAACTATGATGGGGGTTGGTGGGTCTGTTGGCAAAGAATAAATAGGTCAGAGATTATCCACCTATGACCAGTGATAGCAAACCTTTTAGAGCTTTTAATGATAAACAGGTTCGGGACAGGGATTTAGCTCAGCGGTTCCGCCGCCTGCCTTGCAAATACAAGGACCAGAGTTCAATCCCTGGTACCAATCAATCAATCAATCAATAAATAGGTTCACCACTAATGGCTATGCTAATGTAGCTGGCAGCTGACGGCATATGTTTCAACAATAGTGCAAAGAAGCATA